ATTTCATAAGAAAAAGAAATATTTGAAAAATCGATAGTAACTTTAAACAGACAAATTGAAAGCTACAGTATTTAGTAATTAATTCAGTAATAAACAAATTTTCTTAAAGGCACACTAATAGGGACACTTACCCTAATTGCAGTTATCATTGCGCTTTTTTAATACAATTTTCAATATTTCATATACACATTGTGAAATAATTTTCTTTTCCACACACACACGCACGCACGCACGCACGCACACACAAATAAATTATTAACCGGATCAAAAAATTGCATGGCACCTTTTCGCAATGACTGTTTAGAAATTCAAGAATATTAGAGCACTCTTCAGTTATATAGTTCTCCCTAAAATAGAAATTTCCTTTCCGGAAACTTAGGCTATTCTGCAAGGAATGTATCTTTGATGAACGACTAAGTAGGACAAAGCGAACAGTACGAACTTACTTCGCAAGTCTGTTCACGAACAATTATCTCTGTTAATTATAACACATGTAGTCTTGAAATATTTACGATGTCTAAAATATATGCCACCCTGACAGAAAAATTTCTAAGGATAAGAATTAATTTTTATGCTAAATAACGCGCAAATTTGAAAAAATATGCAATACTATGACAGTTAAATTTTTATAAAATTTCATAAAAACATGTATGAATTTGTTCGTCTTCTGCCGTTCTATTATGAATTACCTTTTTACGAAAAGGGCAAAAAGTTTTTCTTAGAAATATGGTAAAAATATACCATTCGATGGAAGTCTCATTAGTCATTACGAATTATTATGGAAATTAAGAATTTGAGTTCTAAGTTCTTAATATTAATATATGTAATTTCTTTATAATTTTTGAGAGAAATTCTAAATTTTTCGTAGTTATTTTTTTAGTTCTTCGTAAAAAAATTTTCCATCAGAACAAGTTAAAATAGTTTTAAAAAATTTATTGCATAAACGTATCAACAGAAATGTTTACTTCTGAGTTTGTAATTATTATTAGAGAAAAAAAAATAAAAAAACTAATAAATAAGTGAAAGATTAAAATATTTTAAATATATTTTTGAAAGTACAAACGTTTAAGAAATATTCTATTTGAAAGAACTCACCTAGTAAAGACAAGGCACAGTAACGTAGCACTAAGGATCATCAGCTGTTGACTCAATGCCGATTGGGACTTCTGCATTGCTCGGTGTAAGTCATTCTGAAATGTAATTACATCGTTCGCGAATCAAATTTCAGTTTCACGTCATAGTTATAGTTAGTTTAGATGAGGTACTTACAAACATGTTTTCCAATGAATGTTTTGCCAACCAACAATTTAGGAACACCGGAATGAACAGATTTCTCATTGGCGGGTATAACAACTGGAAATATAATATAGGAACATCTTCAGTTATTTTCCATTGGACATTTATTATATACATATAATATTCTATTCGTTATTATGATTAACACTTTGCACTTTCAATGGTTTGTAAATTTATCATGGATTTAATTAGCTCCGGTATGTTCCAGTTGCTCAAGAAAATGGCTTTTAAATTAATAAATTATTTATTTAAAACAATTTTTAAAATGTTATTATTTTCGATGATTTGACGAATAAAAATAACGCTTTTTATAATTGACTTTCCTTACAAAAATGAAAAATAAAAATTGTCTCAATGTATACCATAAATTACGACGCGTAATAAAATTACGCATGCCCATGTTATGTATAATTAAATTCTTCTTCAAACAATTTTGAATTATATCGTCTTGTCGCATGTACTTCTTGAAAGAATGTTTGATTTTCTTCAAATCATTATAACTGACTCATTAGTTGGGCAAGCATTCGTGCTATAATTTTCAAGGTGTATGATGACCGTAAACGCTATGTCTGTTATTTGGCAGTTGCAGATATTTATGATGTAAACACCAACGCGGCTGCTTGGCTTGAACACGAATTTGCTCATTATGCTTGCTTTGCGGCATCAAAGACCCACGTACGTCATGCTAAATGGCGGATCATACATTTGCATATTAAACTAGAACGCGCGCACTGATTTTAATGAATTTGATCTATTATTATTTTAAAATGTCATACATCTAATTGTATATATCGTTAACAATTTAGTATATATATCATTGATATACTTTTCTCGTCACATTTTCTCTTTGCACTGCTGAATTCAATTCTTTCATTTTATACTTCTTGCTTTCTATTCAAAAAAATATCTCTGAATTCAAAAAAGGAGGTTAAAGGTAAGAATTCAGAAAATTACGAGCTTATTATTTCTTTAGAATTACTTTTTTTCAAAAATCATTAGTTTTTTACAAGTGTTAAACTGAGAAAGTACAATAATAAGGTAATTGTTATTTTCGTAATAATTGATATAAAATCAACAATTGTTGATAATAATGTCATGTGAAGTTAATTAACAATATTAGTTTTTCGAATGCTATTTTAGAATTCTGTAATTACTTTAGTCCTTTTAATAACTGCGTTTTCTATGTTTTTGTGGTACGAGATGTTTATAAATAGGCGTAAAACTAAGAATTTTCTCATATATTCAGTTTACACGTTACATAAACGTCACCGCATAATCCAAAATTAATGAGGTTAAGTTAATTAAATTCCAAAGCGCAATAACCATGCACGTAATGTCGTTACGTATTGTCCACTGTGAGATAAAGGTTATTCCCAATGGGACACATAAAAATCGATGTATCATAGTCCAGCGTATGCAGCTTGACGCGAATAAAGTTTGTGCACTTTCACGCAAATACAGCTTATGTTTAACTCACAGATATATGTGTATTCCTTTAATATTTTTTTTATCATACTTCAACATCTCTTAATTATAAAATTGTTAATTATTATTTAATAAAATTATATAATTTCTATCTATATTGATAAATAGATAATTTAAAAAGCAGGTATATTAGAAAGAAGTATATACATACATATAATTACAATTAAAAAATTAAGCAATTTCATTATTATTTTTAAGAATTTATAGACCATTTTAAATATTCTTTTAGTTTACTTTAAAATGTATAATTTTGCAAAATTTTGTACAAATTAACAATCTGACAATTTATTTATATGCAATCAAACAAAAATTAAAATAAAAAAAATATACGTAAAAAAATTTTATTAATAATGCATTGCTTTTGTTTTAATTAAATTAAAATAAATGCTGAAAATAGAAAGCAAATGTAATTCCTTTAAGGACTTACCGTGATTGTGAACGGGATCGTGTTGACCAGTTCCAGGATGAAGTGGAAGGATAAAAGCTGCTGCCAGACGTTTCCCTGTGAACATTACGAAGACAGCTCAACATACCCAGTGACAATTTTATCAAAGTAGGAACTGTGAATAACGTTTCAAAAGTAAACATGCGCTTCGCTGTTCTGCATTTTCTTACAACTTTGTAAATATTATAAAGACAAATATGTACTAATGAATTTAAGAGATTTAGAAGTTAAAAAGATCTTCATGACCTGTTTGCACTCATAACATTATTTTTTATTCATACTTATTATTATAAAGCATTTCTTGTACAATGTTACAAACTTGTGTAATGATAAGTTTAGTAGATTTAATAATTTTGTATTAATTAGTAGTAATTCAGATTAGTAATTTAATTTTATTGTATAATAATCAATAATAATAATAATAATAATAATGAATTATTGTATAATAATCAATAATTCATAAAAACAATTTTATAATTTTAAGAAAATTTATAAACAAAAATTATCTGAAATATTTTATGCCTCATTGTTTGAAATGCATTAATCAATAAACAAAACCAATGATTTATTCAATTACTTTTTTAAACTTTGTATTCGGTTATTTTATTTAATCGCCAAAACAGCGATTCTGCGATCATTTAAATTGCAGCACGCTGAGTATAAGTGTGTTGGAAAGTAGCCGAGAAGGATTAATCGGAAATTATATCTTCTAGATTGCTTCATAAAAAATATCATTTGCCGCATCAGCGCTAGCAGTAATTAACTTCAGTCGCGAAGCAGAAAAGGTGAGTACATGCGTAATCAGATCAGGAACTTCTTCGTCTCATCGTTGAACTCGTCGGACTGGCGAGTCCACGCGGTTCGATGTACATCTCTTGCACTTCGCCGAGAACGTGACGCGCATATTATATTTTTGCTTAAACCACGACCTTTCATCGTATTATGGCGTCTCTTTGACGTTAACTGACTTTTTAGCGATAAAAGTTTTGCATTCATAGGAAGTAGTTTTTTAATTAGGACAGGAAACAGATCTCATTTATAATATATAAAGATATTTACAGCAGAATCTTTTTATAAGAGAAAAGAAAAAATATTCGTTGCTAAACGACAACATTTACATGTTTTTTTTTCTTTAGAATTTGCAACATAACTTATTATAATACATATAAAATACACACAATTGCATGTATTTCACGTACGTCAATTCTGTGTGATATATGTATTTTTGCGTTCAACTATATATATAAGATATAATATAGTTCATAAAATTTATAATATTTTATAATAATTTATAATATTTATAATCATAAATTAAAACTTAAGAAATTTTAACTAGCGCAAATAATTTTAAACATCTATTCATTTATGCGAACGTCCTAAATAATGGCGCGTCTTGAAACACTTTCTAATTACCATCTCGTTTTATCATGGAATATTCAACAGCAGTTAACTGTGTATATACTATATGCTGCAACTTCGTGATATAGTCAGGATATACGTTAAATTCCTACCTATCAGCTGTAAATAACGGTCACATAATAAATGAATTTCATAATTACTAGTTTGTATCCTCCTTTTTTTAATATTTAAAAAAATTACCATTCAAGATTTCTTTCAAAATGATTATTTCATCCCGTTTAAATTAAAACTTATTAACTTATAGTATTTGTAATTATAAATATTTAATTTTCAACAGGAACAAATAAAATTTATTTTCTTAATACTTTATCTTACTTTTTCAAAACTGTCAAAAACAAGAGAAAGATATATTACATTAGAGATATTATTTAAAATATAGATAATATTTATATACTATTGCATAAAAATATTTAAAAATGAATTTATAATAAATACTACATATTATAACTACAGCATATTGCAATTTTATCGATAAAAATAGGTATAGCCTATCTAAAATTAATATTTATTAATTTTTTATGTATATTTTAATTTTTTACATTTTTAATATATACATATAATTTTTTAATATGTACAACATATATATAACATATTGTATAATTAATTTTTTACATTTGTAATGCGTATAATACTTTGTACACTGTTGCGCAAAGTATATTGCATATATATGTACATTTTTTAATAAGAATACTTTGCACTTTAATAGTCAAACAATCAAAATTTTCCGTATTATGTTTTAACATAGAATTTTTTAAACGTTTGAGTTGCCGCAGGCAAATTCATAAAAGCCGAGAGCAATACAGCCCGTGGACGCATCAGGCTAACAATCCTGCACAGAGCATTTTAAACGATCATTGAACCTGCCATTACCTTATTCGATCCTTTTTATTCGATGCGACAAAAATTTATAACGAAAAATCTCCAGGCGAGATAAACGTCACCTATATCGGATTACCTAAAGTCTAAAGGGCTCTCACGTGCCTTCGTAGCAAATCCTTCACCTCAGCTCTACAGCGGACTAAAATTCCTTTGGAAAGGCGTATCCGATGGCCGATATATAGATTCGTGTGCTAGCACCCCAAGCGATTTTGTCGATCTCGTACAAACGATTACGAGAGGATCTGCAGATATGTATCCTGGCGAAGGATTCCTTCGAACCTCCGACTGTCGCGTAGGTAAACTTTCATTTATATGCGGCTCATATATGTCTACTTTCCTTTTCACGACGACAAGCTTGACTTGCGCTTTTCCTAACGCGCATTCAATTAACTTTATCCAATTAATCTATAAACAACAAATTTAGATGGCTTAATTAGACTGCACCTTTCTAATTTAATAAAAACAACACATATTTTTCGTACAACCATAAAGAACTGTGATCACAATGGACATATACTATGTATGTGAATAGCAATATACATCATATCAGAAGTATTTATTTGTTTTTTTTTGTTCTTTTTTCCTTAAAGATAAAATTATTATTTCACACAATACGACTACTTTTATAAAGATTTATAATAAAAAGATTTATGATAAAAGAAACATGATTAAGTCACATATAAGTTCCGCAATAAAATAATTGAAAATTAATTGTTAATTTTATTTATTCTTAAATGCAATAAAACCTTACAAAATAATTTTTTTTATATTTAGAATAATTTACTTTGTGTAAGTACTTTATTTCATTGCTATCCTATTTCAAGATGTATTAACTTCCGGATACAATCATCGTCGCTGCGTCACAAAGATCAGTTTAAAATAGACATGAGCAAAGAATCTCGAGGAAAACATAAATTTTGCACTAGCCACGTTTGCCAACGTTTCCCGGCCTTTTGATGCACTGGCCTTTTATTACAAAGTCTTCTACATTTTTATAAACAGCACAAAGTAGAGATGAATCTCTATTTTGTGAAGCATTTTATTTGACAACACATATTGTCAAAAATTTACAAATACGAAAATACAAAATATAAAAATTAAAAAACAAAAAACTTAGATAAAATATTATTTATATACTATTAATATTATAATTTATAAAGGTCTATGCAAAATTAATTAGATTAAAAATATCTTATCAATCAAAATACGTTAATTCTTTAATAATTCCTAAATAGTTCTTAAAATTAAACTTAATATCTTAATTAATTAATTAATGTTTAAAAAATTTAAATTTAGATTAGACCAAGCTACTTTTTATTTAAACTATTATTAAACTATAACTTAATTTTTACATAATTATAATAGTGTAATAAAAATTACTTTAAAATCTTGCAGGTTAATCTAACTCAATAATTAAACACTAATAAATTCTTAATATATTATATAATTATGTAAATAAGAAAACAATTGATAGTAAATACAGACAGGCAGAGTTGTCCTATCATATTTTTATAGAATGCATACACAATACTGTTTAATTTTTTTTGTATCTTTATTTGTAATTTATGACTATTAAATAATATACTTTTCCACTTTAACATAATCTAATGCTGTTATTATATCTTTATTCTTTTAATTATATAACAAGATCTTTATAAATTCTTAGCACTATTTTTTCATATGCAGTTTCATTTTCATCAGAAAAATGATCGCCATCCCGGAAAGAAATTGGCAATGCAACAGCTCTACGCTCATCTCATGGGATTCATCTCTTAATGGAGAGTCTCTACTGAGAAATCACCCTTCTTTTTTTCTATATTCATCGAGGCAATATCGTAGCTTAAAGCTCCACAGAGGCTGCATCCAGACGATAACCGGATAAACTTTTTCGAGAACTCCATGACTATTAATATCCGCTTCCGGGATTTGCAAACTGGCGGTTACGTTGGCAAACGCAATTTAAGGGAGTAACGTCAACGAAAAGAGATAGACTAGGGTTTCAAGCTCTCTCTGAGCACACTCTGCCGTCTTATAAACGAGATTATCAATAAACAGCACATGGCAGAAGTGTTCTTTGAGGCAAAAATTTAATAATGCAAGTCGCGAAAAGAATTCTTTTTTAATATATTAACATAGGTAATCAAATATTTAGTTTAAATAAAATCATTTATTTTTCATCACGTTTAAGAAGCTTGAAGAAAAACAAATTTTACTTGATATTCCACGTCTCTCAAGATTTTATTCAACATTTTATTATATTTTTACATTGTATAAAGGGACTTTATTGTTATTAAAAGATTTTATTATTATTTAACGTAATTTTTAATATTTAATTAATAAAATTACTAAAATTCAAATAATAAACGTCTAAGAATGTTTAAATTTTTGTGTCAATTTTTATTGTATCTCTTCGGTACGATCGTTGACTAAAGTTGACAGCTACGAAAGGCGATTCGTTGTATCGCGATTTGTGCAGGCTTTGCGGTGATACTGCGTACGAAGGAACGGACAATCGTTGTCTAGATATATGATATTTATTGAATACAGTAGATATGATTTGTACAGACTTACGTCCTAACAATGTTGCTCGTAGATTAGAAAAATAATTATCAAATTAACTTAACTAAATTAATGTTATGTAAAAATGGCAATGACTTTCTCTTTCAAGTCTCTCTATCTGCCTATCCGTGCACCTTCAGCAGGATCTAGGACGAACTAACATCGATTCCCTAGTTATCAATTGATAGAAATTATCCCTAATATGCAGAGCGTGGTTTTCTGTAGGAATATTTTGATGTATGTAAACTCATAAAACAGTTAAGATTAATTAAAGCAATAAAGGTTAAATAATTATATCTATATGAAATTATTATATCTCAAAATGAACAATTATTTTAGCATTGGGATAGTTTAGTCCATTTTGATATTCTCGTTTTTCTATCCCTTTACACAAACTTCGGAAACTTTTGTTTCCTATGTTGAGTCCTTTGTAATTGTGTCTTTGTATTCTGGATGTGCAAATAATTTATTTATAATGGCAGTCGTATTAAGATTTATCCACACTTGTTGAGCATAAGAATTACGAGTATAATTAGTAATGGTGGAAATTTCAGGATTGGAACTATCCACTTAACATAAAACCTTCTTTAGGTAGGGAAGGAGTAGTGGAAGGCCCCGATTATCTGAAAGAGTACATCCAATTTAGATACCTTAATCACAATAGATTCACTCGTATTTCTGCCAAATCTTTTGACATATTTGTAATTTGTTTCGCAAACTTTTCAAACTCATTTTGCCGATACTGAATTTTTTGGATCAGTTTTTCAACTAAAGTGTGTAAGATTGTAACACGTTGTTCATAAGCGTCTAATAAATCAGTAGCTGGTCTTAAGTGCTTCTTACATGCAGTTAAAACTTTGATATATGTGCCTGTTAACCATGGATAATTACTCAAGTAGTTTGCTATATCCCAAAAAGAAACAAATAACTCCAATTTTGTGCCTAAGTTTAACAAAGATTTCAATTGTTTCCATAAAGCATTTGTTTTGGGATATTCAATCTTTTCATACATTAGTTCTGCTTGTCTTAAAAATACAAATACTTCGGAAGAATTGACAGCATATCTTAAATATTCAAAATACGTCTCAGTGAATCGTCCTGCTTCTGTATCTTTTCCTTTATTGGGATACCATTTCAATGTTGCTCTTTCTTCTGGAATGTCAGTTCAAGTTGATGATTCGGGTTCATCTCTAAGTTTAGGAATATTAATGGCAAAACTAACTGATGAATTGTCTTTCGTAACGGTTTCTTCTAAGGCAAACCGATCTTCTCCATGAAAAGGTTTTAATGGGTCGAGTGTCATATCTTTTAGTTGAGCAGTTAGTTCTTCTTCAAGTTTCTCTGATTCGGGATCCATCCTGATTGATTTGGGTTTGTCAGTTTCTCGATCCTTCTTCTTACCATTGTTGTGGAAATAACAATCCATTTCGAAATGGTTGGATTTCTTACATATTTCGCAAAACATCTGCTTCTCCTTTGTGTCTGTCCTTTGCTTCTAAAGTGTTGTCTGCATGCTCTCACTAAATAACTAAATGATTCGTGGAGTTATTTGAAGCACCTTTTCTTATTATTAACGTTAGCCACAGCATTTTCTTTTCCTTCCTGCTCCGAATTCCTGGCTTCTTCCAAAAATATTTTTACGGTTAAATTTTCCAGCGTTTGATTTCTCGTAGCCGTCGATTCCCACGCAGTAACAAACGGTTTATGAGAGTCCGGTAGTGTAACTAAAATTTTAGATATTAGCATAGAATTCGCTATTTCCGTATTTAATGCTTTAAGACTGCTGGCTATATTAACCAGTTTGCTGATGTGTGTGGCTACATCGCAACTTTTGTCCATAGTATAACTGAAAAATTCCAGCATCAGCGTGCATTTTCTTTGGCCACTCTCTCATATATAGAACATAATTTTGTCCACATGCTCTGAGCCGTTTCACAATTTAATACATGTGTCAATGCTTTTCTTACTGAGAGACAACACGATTACCATCTGTGCGTTTGCATCCTTTTTATTCCATGTTACATCTTGCTCAGCAGATGATACTTTCGTTGTTACGTCGTACAGTTCGTTAGCTTTAAGTACGATTGTGATCCCAAATTTCCACAACTGAAAGTTTTCTGTACCGTTCAGTTCTTCTTCTCTTATCTGATCTATTTCTTCCATCGATTTCTCAGCCATCTTTACCTTTTTACTGTCCTCTCCTTTTTGCTTTACTTTTGATTATTTTTCTCTGAGTTTCAAAACCTGTAGGCTTTGCGGTGGTACTGCAGCGTACAAAGGAACGAACAATCGTTGTCAGAGAATATATGATATTTATTGAATAATAGATATGATTATAGACTTACGTCCTAATAATATTGCTCGTAGACTAGAAAAATAATTATTAAGAATTTAATTAAATTAACGTTACGTGAAATTGGTAATGACTTTCTCTCTCGAGTCTCTCTCTAATCTGCCTATTTATATTTATCCGTGCGGCGTGCGTGCCGTGCGCTTCGAACACGATCTGGAACGAACAAACATCGATTCCCTAATTATTGATTGATAGAAATTATCCCTAAAAGTGCATTCTCACTGAGCGCGTCACGCGTCGTCCGAATTGACCAATCAAAACACCCTATTTTATTGTGTAATTTGCCGCGCAATCCGGGATTTCGTACAAAGGAAGATTCTTTTATCTCTAAAATGTCGAGTAATCTAATCAATGCGTTGCGCGGTAAATAATGCAAAATAATATAAATGAGATATTTTGGTTGATTAATTCGTGACGCGCTCAGTGAGAACGTACCCTTAGGGTAAAGTCCTATGAGAGTCATATTTACTGCGTAACCACGTAACCAATCAGAAGCGATTTGGTTGGCGAGAAACGTGAAAAACAGCAGATCGCTTCTGATTGGTTACACGATTACGCGATACGCGGCAAGTACGCTTGATGGGACTTCACCCTATAACAGCTTGTCTTGGTCATCAAGTAATACTACGCGGCGGACGTGCACTGTACCGAAGAGATTAAATAATTTTTATCAATGCTTCCAGGATATGTCTTCGTTAAGATTCTCTATCATACCGATATAGTTTTCAACCTTTCATTTTCTTCTCTTCATTAGACTCAATATTTTTCAAACCTGCTGCTTTTAGTAAAATGAATCCGCAACAGTTTCACATAGTGCTTAGCTTTAAATGTTTAATTCGCCGCAAAGTGCAAGATAATCTTGAGCTCAGTCATGCAACTAACGATCGACTCTTTAAGATTCCATTTGTGCGACATCTTCATTTCCTTCCTCCAAAATCCGATAAAAGGGGGGGGGGGGGTCTCTAGAACTTCGCAAATCCAGAATGACGGGCGGAAACATCGCCGACGAGAATGAGGGGCGATCGAAGGCGGACGCGCGCGCGTCGATCTGTATATATAAAAGTTCAACGTTCCACGACCATTAGTCATAAGTCGGATTATAATCTTTATTCCGCATTGGAACGACAAACTTATGATTACACGTGACACGACCAATGGATCGCTGACATCGCATCCGCATGTTTAACGCGCTAATTTTGGTATTCGACAGATACCGAAGGAGCTTCTACACCGAACCCTACCGCAACTCACGGCTTTAAACTCACAAACAAGGGAACTTGATGTGATTTTGCGAAGCGCCTCTGTTGCTGTCAACTCAAGATGGTTCCCGCAACCGCAACATCGGTAACCGCATGCTGCTGCGACACCGAGGGATGCTGATGTTACATTAATTTAATGGTGTATCAATGCTATTTTTTGTTGATTATTTTTGTGGCGAAAATGATTGATACTTCACATATTGACACTCCTCTTGCAAGAGCTTCTTGATTAATCAATATCAATAATTAAGATAAATTATACTCTTACTATAAAGATCAAATAATATATACGTTATATATTATAATACATATTATATATATGTGTATATATGTGCTTTTATATATCAAATGTTTGTGTTATTATATATTAAATAAATATAAAAATATTAATATTTTATTAAATAGTATCTTTACGAGTAATATGTGGAGATTTCAACAACTGTTGCGTCTGTTAGAGACTTTGATGATCGGAATATTTTAAAAGATGACAAAAAATAATTCTGAATCTATTGTTTTAAACTTTTTAAATATTTCATAATTCTTATCCTTATTAAATGTATATTACTAGATTTTATATTATAACATTAAATGTATAACTTTTTAAAAAATGTAATCACATTAAATCACGTAAAAATTTAAATTAAAGTTTTAATAACTATTTAACGTGAACATTTATATTTATAAAAATACAAATAAATCAATATAATTATAAAAGTTTTTATTTCGATATTAAAATATTACATAAATATAATATTAAATAATGAAACGAATTTTTATTGTCAGTTAAATTGAATTTTCTTCTTCAGTAAGTTACGTTTAAATCGTTACATATAGCACTTTTATATTGCACTTTTATTTTGCTACTTTTATTCTAATATATCTATCTAGAAACAATATACATAATATAAAAAGAAATATACAATAAAAAAAAATCCAATTTCCATATTGAAAAGTCTTGCACATCTCATAATATGTATTGTATAATAAATAGCAAGAATCTCACAATTGTCAGATAAATCTTTTTGATAGAATGTCGGAATTAATTCAAAAGAAATCCGAGATCCTTTATTAACGTGCAGTTTAAGTTACATAGCAACCGAAGGATATTACATTACAAACTTTAATAATGACACATTTGATTATAATACCCCTGTACGTTATTGATGTAATGTTATCAGCTTATCGCCGGAATGCTCGATTAACGAATAGCGTGACGAACTTGCTACAGACCGTTGCAGATTATATCGCAAATTCTGCACGTGCGCGCGCATGAAAATTTATCGCTGCGGTAAGATCAAATGATCACTTAACAGCAATATAACTTTTTATGAATCATCTTCTTTTGTTCTTAAAGTAATTAATTTGCAGAAAATATTCAAAGTTTTCATTTACAAAATAAAAAGTTTTTTTATGCTTTGTTCAAAATAATGATAATAAAAATATAAAATTTATTAATTTTGATCCTAATGCGAGGAATTATGTGGATAACAAATTATTTTTATATTATCTTTTTTAAGGATCTCTTGCAGAATCAATATCTTCTTTCAAGGCATTCACATGTGGCAATCCAACTTTTTCTAAATTATTTAAAATTGTTTAAAAACCAAACTTACTTTAAAAATGTTATATTAAAACAATTTATTATTTCACATTTTAAATATTACTGTTCTTTTTAAACGTTATTTTTATAAATTTTTTAAAATTTTGTAAAATTTTATTTAAAATAAAATTAAATTAAAATAGAATAATCAGCTGCAGAAGAGAACCAGTTAGATCTTAAGCAAAGAAGAAGCATCTCTCTGTTTGATCGGTTTTTAGTTCGCTTTTCGTAATTGTAAGACAACTACCACTACCGCAGATATTTTCAAAGGAAGAAAAAATTCGTTAGACAAGAACCGATCGAAAAAAGTCTGACCGATCAAAGCATAGCGGCGTTCCTCTGATTAATTTTCTGTGAACTTTTCAACTCGAGAGTATGAGAGCAAGACCCTCTGTATATAATTCGAAGCGAGTTGGGGCAGAACTTCCTTTTCCGAGCGAATAAATCACGAAAGCAAATAGCTTGCGAGGCATTGCACGTCAATCTCTCTGTACGACGTATTCAGTTCGATTCAAAACACCTAATCACTGAACCGTAAACCATCTGCTCTGAACGAGTAAGTCACACATTAACGTTCGCTCTCTTCAATTTGCTTATAAAGACGGAAAAACTCGTTAATTTATTTCGCATGTACATAGTTTAAATTTATTTTTAAAGATTGCAGAACGACGAAGGAGCGCGGAGCGTAGCGAATCTGGCCGAAGCGCATATCATGTACTTACTCATGCAAAACTGCAGCAGATATATTTAATAAAAGTAAGATACATCATAAAATGTATGTGACAATATACTTATTCAACTATCAATATAGAATCTTTAGTAGCTTTTCTGTACGCACTAGAATTGCACAAAAATATTCTGCTTACGAAGAATTTTATGGCATAATAAAAGATATAATCTTTTAACTGTTATAATTACAAGTGTCATACGTGTCATTGAAACAATACCGTTCTTAAATGTGTAAAGCAAAAGTTATATAAAAGATTGCTTAATGGGAGAAAAAATTTATTAATGGATCATATTGTCAGGAGAAACGTTTATTAAATGTAGACATTAACTTTTAAAATTTGTTTTAAATATTTATAAAAATCCTTTATTAAATATAAAATATATCATTTATTAATTTTTAATTCAATTATTTAAATAGAAAGTCAAATATAACATACATATGGGATATAATATAAACTTTACTTACGTAATAGCTTATATAAGTG